ATTGAAAGACATTATATATTGAAAAACATATAATACATTTAGCAAAACACAATAACTAGACCCATGTGAGGTATACTGAAATCTTATTTCAGACAGATCCTGCTTCAAAATATTCCTATCGCTAAGAATTATTAAACCATCTGGAGCTTGAGTCTTTGAGGTGGGATAATGGAAGGATAGTTAATAGTTTATTTGGGATTTTTCTTTCTTCTTGATGTAATTTTGGTGATTTCTATACAGTTCTAAAAAAGTATGTTTTGTCTCTTTCTGAATTTATGGGATAAAACTTTTCATAGCATTCCTTTGTGATTTTTTTTAATATCTCCACTAAATCTGTATTTATTCCTCTTAGAAGTGCTAGAACTCTTTAAACATTTTCTTTATCAGTCTTGTTAGAGACATGTCTACTTTATTATTAGTTTTTGTTTTTTCAAAAACCAGCTTCTGATTTTGTTGATTCCATTGCCTGTTTTCTATTAGGTTATTAAGTATGAAATGTCTGATTTCCTTAAGTTAGACAGTTGATATCTCTGACATTTCACTTTGACACTTCTCTTTTTATTTTTATTGTGAAGGTACATCCTCAGTCTTTCGAACGCACGGTTTGGCTTTTGATTATCTTTCACATTCTTTTTTAGAGCAATTTTTGTGAAACCATGGATAAGTCAAAAATTCGTGTTATTTTCGAATATGAGTTCCATTGTGGAACCAATGCAGCACAGACAGCTCAAAATATCAATGAAGTGTTTGGGAATGCTGTGGCTAATGAACGCACAGTACATTGTTGGTTTGAGTTCTGTTCTGGTGATTTTAATTTTGAAAATGAGCCACTTGGGCGACCTGAAACCAAGGTGGATAATAATGAGCTGAAAGCTGTGGTGGAAGTGAATCTATCTCAGCCTACGCATGAATTAGCAGCAAGGTTTGACATTACCATTCCAACAATACTGGACCATTCGAAACAATCACCAAGGTAAAGAAGCTGGATAGATGGGTTCTTCATGAATTAAACGAGCGTCAGCAGAGGAATCATCTCAAAGCTCGCCTTTCTTTGCTGTCACAACATAAAAGTGAACCATTTCTACACCATATTGTGACGTGGGATGAAAAATGGATTTTTTGACAATCACAAGCATTCAGCACAATGGTTGGATAAAGATGAAGTGCCAAAACACAGACCAAAACCAAATATTCATCAAAAAAAGCTAATGGTGTTTGCTTGGTGGTCCAGTGTCGGTATTATCCACTATAGCTTCGTGAAACCTGGTCAATAAATTACAGAGGATGTCTATTACAATCAATTGAACAAAATGATGAGGATGCTTGTGATTAAGCAGCCAAGATTGGTCAACAGAGACAGGCCAATCCTCTTGCAAGATGACGCTCAACCACATGTCGCACAAACAATATTGCTCCAACCATAGAAGCTGGACTTGGAAACACTCTGTCATCCACCATATTCACCAGACCTTGCACCAACTGACTACCACTTCTTCCAGGCTTTGGACCACATCTTTTTTTTTTCTCTTTTTTTTTTTTGAGACAGAGTCTCAACTCTGTTGCCCTGGCTAGAGTGCTATGGCATCAGCCTAGCTCACAGCAACCTCAAACTCCTGGGCTCAAGCGATCCTTCTGCCTCAGCCTCCCGAGTAGCTGGGACTACAGGCATGTGCCACCATGCCCGGCTAATTTTTTCTATATGTTTTTAGTTGTCCGATTAATTTCTTTGTATTTTAGTAGAAGACGGGGTCTCGCTCTTGCTCAGGCTGGTTTCGAACTCCTGAGTTCAAACAATCCGCCCGCCTCGGCCTCCCAGAGAGCTAGGATTACAGGCGTGAGCCACCGCGCCCGGCCTCTATTAGCTTTTCAAACTTACTAGGCATGCCAATGCATTGAACCTACCACCTCTGTGTTGTCCCTTACCCCTCACTTCCCAAGTGTACGGAAACAGGAAATAGTCTATATTTACACAATAATTTTATACACTTTTCTCAAATGTCCAACATTTCCTTACTCCCTGCTAATAACCTTATTTCCTATTTCATTGAGAAATAGTGACAATGAGAAGAAAACCTCCAACTACTCCCTCCATGACACATCTACCAAACTATGGGTATCTGAACTTATACTCTTACTTTCCTACCCATGTGAGGATCTTCTCAGGAATATATGCATACATGTAAAATTTTGCATTTAACTCCAAAGTATTCTCAGGTCCACCTGAAGTTTACTCAGGGACTCCTAGTTAAGAATTACTACCCTAAAGAACTAAAGATGGCCTGTCATTTATATTATATTCCCATGGGTTAGGCAGAAGGAACACTGGGGAGATGTTTGAATTATTTCACCTAAAAATGTAAAAGTTTTGTAGAACACTGCCCAATTAATAAAAAGGTATTTATTGAGAGATGATTCCATTTTTATCAGTGGGCAAAATCTAGGTGAAAGATTGTTTGGCATGATGCCACATATCACCCTATGGATTACTTCTTAATTGCAAAGGGAAAAATACACTTTTACTATAGAAAAAAAGTCTCTCACCATCTTATTCAAATGATCGAACTCATCACTAATAGTGGAATAAACCTGACATCAAACAACTCCTAATGTCATACAATATAAACTATATAGTATGACCTATTAAGTATCCTTGTCATATATATATTTAGTCTGAACTCCTCAAGCCTCTAGTAACTTGCAGTTTATAGTACAATCAGGCAGCCCAGAATTCAGTCATTCTTCAGGACAACTGCCTTGGTCTCTTAAAAAAAAAAAAAATCAGTATTACTTGGGAAAATGAATTAGATTAAAAATTTTTAGATTAGAGAGTTAAAACTCAACTGCAATGGGCAATCATTGATAGGATCCTGGTTCAAAAACAAACTACATACAATAGACATTTTGGAGACAACTGGAGAAATCTACATATTGACTGAATATTACATGACAGTAGAGAATAACTGTTAATTTTCATAGGTGTGATAGTTTTTCTGGTTATGTGGAACAATGTCCTTACAGAAAACATATAGCTAAAGTATTTAGAGGTGAAGTGTTGCTACCAAAAGTTCAGTACTTGTCTCTATGGCCGAACCAGGGAGAACAATGAATGAGGACAAATGGTTTGAGGAAAAGGAAAGAGCTGTTTATTAATTTGCCAGCAAATGAGGAGGTGGTAGACTAGTGTCTCAAAAGACTGCCATCCTATCTTCAGGCAGAAATACAGGGCTTTTTAAAAGGGGAGGGGTTTTGGCGGTTGGACTTGGGTCTGTATGACCAGGGTCACATGTTGTGGCTTCAGGGTATTATATAATTGTAGGTTTTGGTGGACCTTATGATCTCATCATCCTGTCCAAACAATTTGACCTTTGTCTGAATAATTCTGTGGTTTAAAACACTAGAAAACAAATAGACAAGAACATTTTTTTGCTCCTTTGATTACCGGCATCAGGAAGTAATGTAGGTTTAATTCCCAAAAAGGGTGTGGGTTTTAAAGAGACAACTTGTAAAATATTTCCTTGCCCTTTTTCAGACCTTTACCTCTGTTAGTGTCTTGTCTACAACTTACCAGTCTGACAAAAACAATACGCACAATACATACGCAATAAATATATAAATAAAATACAGAAAAAAATGTTTGAATCTAGGTGATAGGTGTACAGGTGACTGTGTACCTTTTGTTCATTTTTTGTTTAAAATGTTCAGTATAAGAAATTGCAATAAAGAAGACATGCGCAGTCAATCCCTACCCATCTTTAGAAGTTCATTTTGTGTTTTACTTATCTCTCTGAAGGCTTTCTTGCCTATCTCAGGATAAACTCAGCTCTTTATCCCTTTTCAAAATTTCCCTAGTACTTTTAACTTTGAACTTAGCACTTAACTTTTTGCTTTGTACCCAGTCTGGAACAATCCACTGTAAATTCTGTGGACAAAATAGGGGAAGGAGTACAATAATAAGATATAGAAATTAAACAGCTAAATTAGAATGAGCTTATGGGTGGCCTTTATTAGGCAAAAGAAAATGTTAAGTTAGTAACAAGATTTAGGCGTGAGGTGACCAAGACCTAAACAAGGATGGCAGCAATGAAAGTGAAAAGTCCTGAGAAACATGGGAAACCTTTATATGCCCGCCTTTGGGTTTTCATTAGTTCTTACCTCGAGGTATTTAAATCTGGACAGCTTTTCAAACTCCCCAGCTTTACAACAACCCAGCCACCATCTCAAATCTCAGGGTCTAACTGGAAGAGAAAGAGACTTCAAGTAGAACGTTAGGCAGACATTGACTCCCAACATCCATTCCCTGAGCCAGTGGCTTTAGACGGGCTCATCTTGCGCCCGCAATACCAAAAACACTCTCCACATCCGCGCACGTGGCAGCGGTAAATCGCCTAGGAAATATTCTGAAAGGTCGAATTTACCTAAGCTATTAAATCCTGTTGGAATTTTACAAAACTCAAACATCGTTCCGCTTCAGGGCCACCGTTCGAGAAAAAAGTATACTTCGAATCCTCAAAGGAGAAACGAATTCGGTTTCACTCATTTCCCGGGTAAAGGTCAAGGCCGACTGCAGAGGTCGTTCCTCCCCCCGCCTCCCCCCGGCCTCGGCCGTACCCTCAGGTCCGGATTCCCGTCCTGCCCCGCGCCGCCCGCCGGCCCCCTTCCCACCCCCAAACCGGCGCCCGCCGCGCGATGCGCTCCCCGGGCTTCCTCTCCGCCTCTCAGCACCGCTCTCTGCCTTACGTCTCCCGGAGAGGGAGCGACGTTCGAACTCAGAGGACCAGAAGGCAGATAAGCTTTTCCGGGGGCCGCCCGGGAGCGCGGTTGGGCCTTTCTCCAGGTCGCGCGCACGGCGCAGGCTGGGGTCACGGAGCATGCGTCCGGATGAGCCGCGCGGGACCCCTCCCATCCTCCCTCTCCCTCGGCTGCCCTGCCTCCTCCTCCGGGCCCCGCCCACGTGCACCCGGCGGGCGGAGGCTGATGGTTTAGGCGCCCCGCAGTGCTTTGGAGTCCCAGTGCATTGGAGTCCCAGTGCATTGGAGTCCTAGTGGCCGCACCGGGAGCCAGCATGGCAGCGGGGTTCCGGCGGAGCTGCGGGGTGAGAGGAGACGAGGATTGCGGTGGGGCGGGGGCACCGAGGTTGCGGTGTTTGGGCAGGGGGGCATGGGCCGAAAACTGGTGCGTCCCGGAGGGGAGGAAGCTGTGCTGAGGAAGGAGTCTGCCTCGGGACGCCAGAGCCCTCCTTTCCGCTCTCTTGGACGCGGTCCGGGACTTCAGACACTCTCTTGCTTTCGCGCCTACCGCCCACCTCGCCCCAGGACCCCTGTATGGGCAGCGTCCGCCCTTCAGAATATCCTTTTTCTTTCTCTGGCCCGGAAAGCCTCCAGATATTTCCTCCAGGAATCCCACTCTCCCGAAGTGAATCTGTCTCTGAATAGGTGTCTCGGAACCGGCGGAGAAAGGAAAAACGGAGCAGCTGCTCCTTGGGATACTTGATATGTTTAATATGTCTTTGGTTTTGTAATATGGAGGAGATCGCGTCCTTGCGTGCGATTAAAAAGTACAAGAAAAGCCTACTTTACAACTTTTCATGAAGCTTGTCTATATATTCTAGTATTGTATCTTACAGATTCTAAGTATGTTGCTAGATGCATTTTGGTATCTAAGTATTCTTGAATGTTCACATAAGACTGCCATTTACAAGTCACTTAAAATGGAATTATAGTTACGTCTTTCACGAAAACACTACAGTTTTAGAATTTAGAATAATTTAGGATAATTCTTTTTTGCCATTGCTATACAAGTTAATGGGCGCTGAATGCAAAATTGGGGATTTTAACAATGAAAAAATTTTAACTGACCCCAGGAAAAAAGACGAGTTTTCTGAATCTCTCCAAGGAAGGATCTAGTAAACGCCGATCCAGAAAATTTATATCCCTTTATATCTTCTTTTACACTCCCATAAAACTAAGACTCTTACATTTCTAAGAAATTCGCAAAAGTGTTTAATTGTAGTGCTGCTATTGTTGCAGAACTGAAGCTTGATTAAATTTGATGTCTTTTGGCTATTTGGAATTCCATTGTTCTGGGCAGAGAGCCCAAAGTAATAATATCAGTATGTATATAGCATTAGGTTTTCAAAACATCGTCTTATTTTAATCACCCCCAAATACCCAGTGAGATTAGCCCCATTTTCCAGTTTTGAATAGTAGCTATAAGAAGTTTGTAACCTGTCCTAGGTCACAAAAGTAGTTGCAGAACCTAGACTGAATTCAACATTTCTAATTCCAAATCCTGTGCTATTTCTGTATTCATTTCTAAGCCACCTCTTTAACGAAATGGCTAACATTATTACGTAATTAACAGGCTGATGGGCATTGTAGCAAAGAACTTGGCTGTAGCAAAGAACAGTGTACTTTGTTTTATGTAACATGTTTTCCTGAAAAATCATATGTAAACTATTTGTAAATTATTTTAAACCCACAAAATAATTCCCTATTTAAAGTCTTTCAGCAGATCATTTTACCCGTTTTGTGAGTTCTGATTTCATAGAGTCACTCTTTTTGGTCTGATTTTTGTGGAGTCTTTCTCTTTGTTGTGGAAACTAAAGAGACTAAATTGAAAGAGCAGTATAGCTAGGTGGTTGATAGCATGAACTTGTGATACTAAATGTTAAAATCCTCGTTGCACTAAGAGCAGAGTGACCTTGGCTAATTTTACTTGACCTTTCTGAGCCTCAGTTTCTTCATTTGCAAAATAGGAATAAAAATAGTGCTTTAATCCTAGGCTTGACCTGGTATTCAGTGAATTAACGTGTGTAACATGACTGTAAGCAAGAATAGGTTTGGTCTATGACAACTGGACAATGAGGACCAGAGAAACCATGTGTCACTTCTAAAATAAAATTAATGAAAATTGCAAAGAAAATGTGAGTTTTCATACTCTATCTTTTCAAAATTGTAGTATGAGTTATGTTATTTTGAGAGGGCTATTTAAATTACAATATTTGACACTCTAATTATGTTGTCACCTTAAATGTAGGTAAATCTCTTTATAAGTCAAAATTGTCATCTACAAAGTGGTGTTTTTACAGATTTTGAAAAACATAGGTTCTACAAGCTTTAGTATATTCAGCTTCTCTTTTCTCTTAGTATCTAAGCTTATTAAAATTGCTTTGAGATAGTTCCATCATAAATTCTTTAAAGTGTAAATTGTGTACTTTTAGCTGTTCTCAGAGTTTACTTGGGAGCAACATTGTGGTTTCCAGTTTGGTAACTTCAGTAAATGCAAGTGGTTACTTTTGTGTCCTTTAAACTGTCATGAATATAAAATATGGGTTGCACTAATCATCAGGGAAATGCAAATTAAAACCACAATGAGATATCACTTATCTCCAGTGAGACTGGCCTTTATCAAAAAGTCCCAAAACGATAAATGTTGGCGTGGATGCGGAGAGATAGGAACACTCATGCACTGTTGGTGGGATTGCAAACTAGTGCAACCTCTGTGGAAAGCAAT